CATTAAGTAAAATATATATTTATACGAGTATATAAAGATTTAATTTATTTTAAAATTTTTTAATGTGTAGAATGAAATATTTAATATTATGAAATTTTTCTTGGTGTTTGCAGCTGAGAATGAATAAAATAAGCTAAATTACACTTTATAAAAAAGAACTCTTATAATAGATGAGAATATAGTTATTATAAAAACGTAATTCTTTATTCTTGAATTTAGTTATTTAATTTTGAATGAAAATCTCGATAAGAAATAAACTGCTGTTTGTAGAAAATGCAACACCATGAAGGAATCATCAGAATCAAATGAAATTCGCAGCAAANGAAATTTTTTATAAATGCGTAATATTTTCATAATTTAATTACTATATTGTTATTATGAAATATATATTTTTTATCATTTGCATTATATAAGCAAGCGACATATTAAATAAATTATGGATTATTGATTGGATATAAACATTATTATTGCTTAGTGCTTTGCCTGTATCTCTGCTATCATTCCACGGAACTTTAGATTTCCCCAGAACACCTTTTGGGAACTTCTAGAATACGAATAAATATGAAATTAATCTGCTTTGTGAAAAATTAAAAAAAAAAGAAAAGAAAAATGTATAAAATCGTCTTTTATATATATATATAAAAAAAATTATCAATACCTCAATTCTTGACACCTCTCGAAAGGTGCAGTTGCTGGGAAATCCCATATAATGTCATTTTTTCATAATTTTTCGTTACAAATAAAGTTGTAGGACAAAGTTGTTGGAGCCGCTGGGCTCGTCCTTGGCAAGGTCGTCTCATAAATTCGAACTTGATGAAAACATACACATTTAGAATGTCAAATGATGTTGCTTCCTGCACGTCCTTGCCCTCGACCCTTGTTTGGCGACTCATAAAGTACACGTGACAACCAGAGATTCAGATTGAATCTCATATACACTGATTAATTATGTATAATGAAGTAATCTTCTGTTTCTCTTATACCCCTCTTCTGTTTCGCGATTATTTGGAATCTAATTGAAGCCGGATTATTTTCACATCTATTTAATTATTTAGAAGACAAAAAGGAAAATCGATTTTAGTAGCCCTTTGCTAGCCAAGTTCTTTTTACAGTTAAAAAAAAAAAAAAAAACAGATTTTGTTNAAAAAAAAAAAAAAAAAAAAAAAAAAAAAAGACGGGTTCAAATTTTTTGAGTTTAGAAAATAGAATCCACTGTTTATACAATCCCCGTATAGCACGACCTAGAGGCCATTAAACAAAGGTCTGCAGGCCACTAAACATTGAAATAAAATAATTTTAACATTCAGAATGGTAGAAAAATTTATGATTCTGGAGCGGAGCCTCCGATTGTAAAGGGTTAATTATACTAGGGACCGAATTTTTGGTTTAATTACTAGATATTGCTTAATTCGGATTTCAAATCTGAAATTAGTTTTGCCTCTAAATCTACAATTTGTTTTTTAAACGACATTTTTTTGTTGAAATCTACAAGTTTAAAAACGTTATGTAAGACAAGGGGTCGAGTAAATGTATCGAAAAATTTCTGGGAGAAATAGCGCACATCATCAGGATCAAAACTGCATTTGAAACCATGCCCGGAATGTCGTCATACGCGACTAGGGGCACTTCCCCTAATACGACCTGTTCATAATAGGGAAGCAACCTGAACAGTTCATAATAGAAAAGCAACCCTAGTCGCGTAATAAAGACATTTGTTCCTATGCAGTTTTAATCCTGATGATATGCCATAACTCCCCTAGAAATTTTTCGCAACATTTATGCGATCCTTTGTTACAAATAACATTTTCACACTTGTACGTTTCGAGAAAAAATAACAAAAAATATATTCTAAGAAGAAACAGTAGCATAGAAGGAGAAACGGAAAGCAGATTTGAAATCAGCGATACGAAAGTATTTAAAATCTGTTAAGAAATTGTTCTTTAGTGTTATTTATACCAAGCCTCCATAAACAGTCTGTGTACAAAGCAGAAAAACTATTTGGGAAATCAGGGAAGAGTCATAAAATTTTACTAATCTAGAAAAATCGCACAAGGGCAGGGCATTTAAATAAAATGTCCGAAAAATTTGAAGAAAAAAAATAAAAACAAGTGAAGTTAGGCCTAAAGATAGCTATTTCTTTTTTCATTTTTTTTCACAAGTTATTTATCATTTTTCGGCTCCTTTCATATGGTTTTTCAAATTCTAATATTTTTAATACAATGTTATCACGATTTCGAACTATCATTTTTTGACGCATTCGATTCGTGAAGAACCCATCGTAAATTCACGTCGCTTGTAAATAGTTTTTTCAGAATTATTTGTCAATTTTACTGCCCTTTTCATATAGATTTAAAAACAACGATATTTTTAATACTTTGTTATATACGACGTTCGAATTTGAATTGACGCGTTCGATTCCATTGGAACTTCTCGTCGTTGAATAATACTTTGCCTTTTCCTTAAGAATAATAATAATAATAATAAAAAAAAAAAATAAGTAAAAACTCCGATATTTTTATTATGCTTATTACGACACTAGAATACCGAATTTGAGTTTTGACACCTTCGATTCCCTACGATTGCGTAAAATTACATCGTTTTCAGATTATTTTTCTTTACAAGAATTTGCCGCGGAATAATTTTGTGTGATCATTTTTATAAAATGAAACTTTGTAGGGACCGTTTTTACAAATTTGAATTTTGTGAAGCGGATGCAAAACGGCCCCAATTTCCGACTGGATAGTTCACTAACTACCCCCAGTTATATATATATACCAGTTATTTTAGCTTTCAATATGGAAGTACATTAATTTTATATAATTAAATTTAAAAAATACACTTAACAACAATTTACATTTGATCTTCTACTGCAATAATTCAATTAGAACGAAACAGTGAATATCAAGTAGAAAATACATTGTTTCATCTCTCTCCAATTTAGAATTCATTTGTCTGCTGTTTGTAACTATGTTTCATTTTGTCAAATAATGGAGGAAAAAACGAGAAGAAAAGAAAAGAAAAAAAAACTAGAAAGATAGTTCTTTAAAACATTTTCTGTGAGCCGTGTGAGAATTCGGTGAACATTCCATAACGTCTTTTAATAATGTTACCGTTGATAGAGGTAGGGAAGAACTTCATCAGATTTGAAATAAATTTTACCTCTCGCCAACTCAATGACTTCCTTAACAACTTCCAGAGGCGCCAAATCAATTTACACGTTCTTGTGTAATTTTTTCTTTTTTTCATGGTGGAATAGTGTTTTTCCACAACAGCATGGCGACCTGAGGACGCAGACGATTATCCATATAAACAGATATATTTTGAAGACTAACTTATTTCTTTGGGTTACTTATGTTCTGTGAACTTCGTTTCTGAAATTGCTGCATTTTTTAAACAGTCAGACTATTTTTATTTTATTTTATTGAATCTAACGTTTTATTTTGGTTGTATGCCTTGATGTGTAACAGGTTTTAGTTTGTTCTCAATTAAATGATTTCTTGTTCGTAATTTGGAATGATATCTAATCGAATCTGCTATTTATTTGAGTGATAGATAATTTTTGTTCGAATGATATCTACAATTGAATGATACCCAATATCTGTTCGAATGGTTTCTAATATTGATTGATATCTAATATCTGTTCGATTAATGTCGAATATCTGTTTAAATGATATCTATATTTTCGCTCTTAATAGATAAAAAAAATCAATATTTTGATATTGTGTCAATATTCATTAAGTAAAATGAGTACATGATGCTTACAGAAATTATGGTTTAAAATTGTGCTAAATTTGAATATCCTTTAGAATTAGAACGTTTTTGCTGCATTTTGGGAATTGGAAATAGTTTTGGAAGTGAAAACATTCACTTTTACTTATAGAGGCGGCGGTTAGTTCTGAATCTGGAATTTTAAAATATCGAATTGCTTATTTCAATCTCAAACTACTGATTAGATTAAAGAGTTCGAGCTAAGTGTTAACTATAGCTAAAAATGGACATTATAGCGCCAATATTTATGTTTAGATAGCGTTATTTATTTTGTGAAAATTCAATGTGAAATATAAATACATTATGAAATATTCGAAAGCTGATTATATCTTCTTATGCTTCATCTGGGCAAGAGCTGTGTTTAACTGTTATGGCCTAGGTTATCCGCAGATAGTGGAAGATAGCTCTTACAGCAAAATCGCTTTACAGCAACTTCTACAGCTGTTTGGTTTGGAGAGAAACAATACAGAACCAAAATCTCATCCACACCCACCACAGTACATGTTAGATTTGTACCGTGCTTTCTCCAAAGGTGAGAGAAGTGAATACCATTCCCGGCACCCCACTGCTAACACAATACGAAGCTTTTTTGAAAAAGGTAAATACTTCCAATCTTTATTAAAATATGAAATGTTTTTATATGATGTACCTGTGCACTAACCATTGGTGCTTTAAAGCATTATTTTTTATTTCAAAAATATATAAAAATTATTGTAAAATCATTTTATTATAAACATTTATTGTTTGTATACACGATAATAAAACAGCAAGTAAAATTTCATAGGATGGAAAATTTTTGACTTTATTTACAGGCCATTTAATATCACGTGGGCCGCTAGCAAAAAATTCTCATGAAAAAATTCGCAAAAAAAAAAAAAAAAGGATTTAAAATTGCAATAACTTTCAAATAAAGTAGAAACTCACAACAAATAAATAAATAAAAAATAAGAGTTCATGCCAAATTAGCCAATGAAAATGTTTCTTTCAACAGGTTAAATTTTAACCTTGTTTTTGCATTTCTTTTGAATTCAAAGTGGCCCGTATGGTATTTTATAAAACAAATTTAACGGTTAATAATTCTTGAACTAAATATCAAATATTAATCAGTCTTAACTTCAGTTTGTTTTCGAAATTTAAATTTTTTTTCGAACGTTATTGTATTGCTTTTTTTGCCCATTTTTTTTTCCTTATTTTTTGATTTCAATAATGACCATACATCATTTGTTACAAAGAAAAGTATTTATTTAAAAGTATTATGTATTTATCTTTCGAAATTTTTCTATATATATACGCATTATTTTGTTTATTAAATATATGGTAACAGATCTCGAGAGATGTAAATGAACTTAAAAGAATGGATAAATATTCATTATTTTTTTTAAAACGATAAAAAAAAAAAACGTGAAAAATTTTCAAAAAACAGAAGAAAAAAAAAGGATTCAAAATTACAATAACTTTCAAGCAAATTACAAACTCACGAATAAATAAATAATAAGTGTTCATGCCAAATGAGCCTACGAAAAATTTTTTTTCAACATGTTAAATTTTAACTTTGTTGTTGCATTTCTGTTGACTTCAGAGTGGCACGCATGGTATTTTTTTAATACAACAAGTTTAATAGTTAATTATTCTGGAACTAAATAACAAATATTATTATTATTTGTTTAATTCTGTCGTACTTCATGTTCAATTTTCTACACACGCTAGTAATATATAAGTTTCGAAATCCGATAATTTGTATTCTGCAAAAAAGTAACGTAAAGATGAACATCAAAATAGTGATAGCGACTCATGCGATTTTCTAATATAAGGAGATGTAAGCTTGCTCTTTCTTGTTGAAGTTGAAATTAAAATTTAAAAAAAAAAAAATAGGGGGAGGGAGGGTTATCATTGAATCGTCAAGGTTTACCACAATTGTTAGAGAATAGCTAACAGTTGCCCTGAATTACGAATCAGAATTTTATTTCAATAACAACAAAAATTTGTGTTACCATTCAAAAAATTTGTTTGCATAAAACCTCACTACTGACGAAAACTACCTTCAGTGAACGTTAAATTGGAGGTTAGAATGCTGTTGACGTTAGAAAAGGAGGGGGAATTTTCCTGTTTTGCCACACCTTGTAATTGTGTACTTTAATACTTGTTTTTATAATTGTGTTCAAAATTAGCACATGAAGTTGTAGCTACATTAAATAAGAGACGGAATCATAAGTATATTATGAAATTTTTAGTAAAAAAAAGTTCTTTGCTTAATTAATATGCTTTATTCATAAAATTGTCTTTGCTTAATTAACAAAAATTTATTTTAGAAAGTCAGAAAAACAATAGCAGGAAACAACAAAAATTTTAAGATATGTGTGTTAGCAGGACAGCACTTCATCAGGGGACACACTGCCTGCTAACACACAGCAGCCTTTGTGTAATCAGTGGTGAAACCAAAAACTGATAGGGCACTGTCAGTTTTGGTTTCACCCCAGTGGCGTAGCGAGCTTAACTTGCGCCCGGGGCACAATACCTTTTTAGCGCCCCCCATTCGAAAACTATATAGTATTATATGTAAAATATACTCCCGAATTATTAAATAAATAATGTAAAATAAATAAAGTCATAGGCTCAAGCTAGACTTTAAATTTGAGACAAAAAATGCAGTTGAGAAAACAAGACAAGATTCTGAATTGTATATGATCATCTAGAATTAGTTCAAAAGATAGCTATTATTTTTTATTTTACATATTTATAAAGAAATATTTTAAAAACACGCAGTAATAAAACAATAAAAAAGTAAATATTTATTATCTCTAAAGGGATACATATATTTGATAATAATATGATTATAATAAATTAATAAAACTAATTACTATGTATAAATTTTCCTTGCTTTTGATGAAGCAAATTTATCAATAATATCATCAAAGTTGATAATTACAAATTTGTTTCTTTCCACACTTAATGTTAGGTCACTTAAACGATCTTGTTCCTTCGTAGATNGGCCAAAGACTCAAAAGATGAGTGGGTTGCTCATCCCTCTCCACCGGCATGAAAGAAGAAATTGTTCGTTCTTTTATAGATAACGATTTCGTACGTCACATTGATTGAATGCTTATTACTTGAATTCCCCTCACTTCCTTCCTGGAAACGAATCTAAAAAAAAAACTTAAGTACTAAAGTTTATAACTGGAAGCTACTTATTTCCACAGTAACGATGTACTTTAATACTTGTTCAATGTTTCAATATATATATACTTTTCTTTAATTTAAACTTTACTCGTAATAAAAAAAAACATTATAATTTTTATTGTATCATTTCTAATATTTAGCGGCACATTTTAAGAATTTGGCGGCACCCAAAAGTGCCGCGGCACAGTGGTTGAGAATCACTGTGTTAGAGAATAGCTAACAGTTGCCCTGAATTACGAATCTGTATTTTATTTTAATAGCAGCAAAAATTTGTGTTACCATTCAAAAAATTTGTTTGCATAAAACCTCACTACTGACGTAAACTACCCTCAGTGGATGTTAGATTGGAGGTTGGAATGTTGCTGACGTTAGAAAAGGAGGGGAAATTTTCCTGTTTTGCCACGCAGTATAACTGTGGGTTTAACTCACAAAGCAGAGTATGCTAAAAATCATGAAGTACACAAATAAACTGGAACACATTTGTTATTACTTTCAATGGTTAACTTAATTCTAAAATTCTAATTGAATATACAAATATATATATAGGATCATCATCCACAATCTCATACAATCGGCCAAAGACTCAAAAGATGAGTGGGTTGCTCATCCCTCTCCACCGGCATGAAAGAAGAAATTGTTCGTTCTTTTATAGATAACGATTTCGTACGTCACATTGATTGAATGCTTATTACTTGAATTCCCCTCACTTCCTTCCTGGAAACGAATCTAAAAAAAAAACTTAAGTACTAAAGTTTATAACTGGAAGCTACTTATTTCCACAGTAACGATGTACTTTAATACTTGTTCAATGTTTCAATATATATATACTTTTCTTTAATTTAAACTTTACTCGTAATAAAAAAAAAATATAATTGTGTTCAAAATTACTTGAAGAAATAATAGCTACGTTAAATAAGAGATGGAATTATAAGCACACCGGACAAAAAATTAGTCACCCCTAGAGAAATCATGTAATACATCATTTAATGATATGTAACACCACCTCTGGATTCGATAACCACCTAGATTCAGTTAGAAAGTGAGTTCACAAGGTTTTGCTGGCATGTCGAATCCAGTTTAAGCTACTCGCTGAGGATTTGATCGCGCAAATCAACCAAAAATTACGAGAATGATGATTTCAGCGTTTTACCCGTTGATTCAACATGTTACACAAATTTTCAATTGGGTTGAAGTCAGGTGATTTTGCAGGCCAATCGAGATGTAATTGAGTGTATGAGCGTTCATAAAACCAGTCACTTATTCTTCCAGTCCGATGAACTTTGCCGTTGTCATCTTGAAAAATAGGGTATCGACAACACACTTTTCTAGAAGATGTTAACTGATAGGCAACATATAACCATCAAGAATGTTCAAATAAACATGTTAGTGACCACCTCAGTGAGGGGGTCTAATCTATAATAAGCAAAACGCCCTCAAAACAGGACAGACCCTCCTTCGGCTTGAACCTGACCTTGCACACAGTCAGGATGAAATGCTTTATCTGCTCTTCGCTGCACTCGACGACGTGCGTCTTTGGAAAAAAAGCAAAAACGTGATTCGTCAGACCATATTATATTCCGGCAGCCAGCAACAGCCCACGTTCGTTGATTTGTGGCCCACTGAAGTCGCACAGCTTTATGTGCTTGTGTGAGCTATGGCCTCTTACGAGATATTCGACTCTAATTGTTTATTGCAAGCAGCTCCCGTCTCAATGTTCTTTCACGAACATGTTGGGATGGACCTTCATTTACTAATTAAAGCAATTCCTGTCGTCTTTGGAAGCAGTTTTGATTGACAAGTCGTGAAACACGTCTCCGGTCCCTTTCATACAGGATCTTTTACTGACCACAATTCTGACGTCGTCTTTCGTGACCACGTGTATTACACCACTACTTGTAGACACGTTGAACAGTTCGCTTCGAAACACCAACAAATCCAGTAACTTCATTCACCGTATGACCATGGGCACGGCCTAACACAATTGCTCCTTTTTGCCACTCAATCACACCCTTACACTTATCCATATTTACACACAATTTCAGCTTCAAGCAAAAATATCTCACCGATTGCTACTTGCCTGTGATCACGTTGAAGCAGCATTTGGGCACATCACTTGACCACTATCCCATCTGACGAAACCTAACTATTCATCGGTACTTGCGCACTAGGGTGACTAATTTTTTGTCCGGTGAGCTTAAGTATGATATGATATGAAATTTTTATTAACAAAAAGTTCTTTGCTTAATTAATATGCTTTATTCACAAAATTGTCTTTGCTTAATTAACAAAAATTTATTTTAGTACGTCAGAAAAACAATAGCAGAAAACAACAAAAATTTTAAGATATGTGTGTTAGCAGGATAGAACTTCATCAGGGGACACACTGCCTGCTAACACACAGTGGTGAAATCAAAAACTGACAGTGCCCCTTTTTTTGTTGATAGGGGTGAAACCAAAAACTGACAGTGCCTATTCTTTTGATAGTGGTGAAATCAAAAACTGATAGTGCCTCTTTTTTTGATAGTGGTGAAACTAAAAACTGACTGGGCACTGTCAGTTTTTAGTTTTTAGTTTAGTTTTTAGTTTAATTTGGTTTTAGCTGCTATAAGCGCTTTTCCATATTGATTTATTATTTTAATGTTACTTATTTTGTCTTTTTCTGAATTTGTAAATTAGTTTTATTCCTCGATTAGACAAAATTTTATTTGTTTTTCGCGAAAACTACTGATATTTTAGGAAAAAAAAAACAATGTGTTAAATGCGAAGCATTCGTAAGGACTTGTGAGCAAAGCACCCTAATATTTCAAAAAGATTTGTAATGCATGAAATCGGTTATTAGGGTCTTTAGAATGCATTGCATTAAAAATAACTATAATTAAGCTCCATATATTTCGAAAACTAATCAAAATCGCAAGAAAAATGTGATTTTCCCGTGTCATTTTCCCCCTGAATTCCACTAATAATTGTGCTCCGTTTTAATATTTTGTTTAAAAAACATTTTTACTTCTTTAACTACGTAAAGGCTACAAAATTTGTACTTAAATTTAACAATGAGTCGGTGCTAGGAATTTTACACTTAAGGTATCCGACTACCTTCGGGACAAAATTTTTGAAAAATAAATATTTTTCACAACATTATTGCAATTTATATTGTATATTAATTTAAATAAACATATTTAATAGAGAAAATTTTAATATACAGGAAATTTTTTGTTTAAAGAGTAATTTTTAGATAATTTTAATGAAAATATTTCATTAACGGAAAACACTCTACACAAAAAACTATTGTACATGCAGCTATCAAACTTTTTGAGCCGTTTCGTATAACCCTCTGAAGTGTTATGAACCTCAACTTAAATGATATCATGAAATTAAAAAAATTTATGGAGTGTTAAGCATATTTTTCCATTTTTTTTCACATTTTCTTCACATTATCTACTGCAAAATATCTCATAAAACAAAAAATAATACAGTTATCTGAATTCTGGAGGTCTGTTACATAACCACCAATACAAGAAACAATCTCTGAAAGTTTGAAGACAAATTTATTATAATTAGTTGAGTTATCTTGTTTTCCGTAGACAAAAAACAGCAAAATTGTCATTTTGAGAAAAACACAATTAAAGTTTATAATTACATTTTTTCTAAAAACTATGAATGTTTGTCAGTAGGAAGTTATTATATTTTATAGGGGGCACATTCCTTCACACATTTTCTTAGTTTTATTTAACGTAGCGATATTTTAACGTATTATTTAGCGATATTTTAAAGTATTTAGTGAATAACATCAAAAGTCTACTACTTATAAAGCATTTAACACAGGAACAATTTTTTATTAAACAACCATCTTACTGTATTTTCACACTTTAATATATATGTCTAAATATAGTTTTTATTAATAATTAGAAGTAAAAAATATTTTTTATAATATTTATAATAGCTCAAATCTAGAATTTTCTTCTAAATGCAATTTGTTATCATAGCAAACCGGACAACATAATGAAGCTAATATCACCATTAGGATCTCAATATCAATTATTCGATTGCCACACAGATTGTTTTTATCCAAAGGCATCAGTTCTTTATTGACATTGAGATCCTAAT